GTGTTGGACGCGCTGCGCCCGCTGCCCCCCTCCTCCTTCCTCACCCTCCTCTCCAACTTCTACCGCGGCCTCAGGGGCGCTTCAAGGTGCCCACCTTCGCCCACCAGGAGCTGGACCTTCACACGGTGAGGGGTGTGTGTGTGTGTGTGTGGAGGGGTGGGGGTGTATGGGGCGATGAAGGGATGGGTGGGCGTGTGGGTGAGGGGGTTGTATGCTGCCAAAGGGGCCCGTCCTCGCCCACCAGCAGCTGCTCCGGTTCGAGTTGGAACGGAGGGCGTGGCTGTGACACACACACACACCACACACACACCACCACCCCGCCCCTTCCGCGCAGGTTTTCTGGGGCGTGATGGAGCGTGGCGGGTACGAGGCGGTGACGGGCGGCAAGCTGTGGAAGGACATCTGCCGCTGCCTGGCGGTGGACCTGGCGGGCCAGACCTCCGCCTCCTTCAACATGCGCGTCAACTACGAGCGCTGCCTGCTGGACTTTGAGAACTACCTGGCCTGCGGGCAGGTGGGGGTGGCGGGGTGGGGGTGGGGGTGGCTGGGGGCTTGGGGCGGGGCGGGGCGGGGGGTCATGGTGGGGGTGGGGGTCCTGGTGGGGGGTCCTGGTGGGGCGCCCTGGTGTGTGTGGGGGATGAGCGCTCCCATAGGGAGTCGTGGTGGCGGTGGGGTGACCTGTCAACTACGGGGTGGTAGGAGGGTGGATCGTGGCTCTGGGAGGCGCGCGTCACTGCACCGCCTGCCTCTGCCTGCACCGCCTCGCCACCCGGTACCGCCTGCATGATCGCCTGCAGTACCAGCGCGACCTGGCAGCTGGCTGCGCCCCCGAGTCGGACTTCCTCACAGACCACACCCGCGTCAAGTTCACGATACCGGGTGAGGCAGGGAGGGAGGGGAGGGAGAGCAGGGAGGGAGTGTTGGCGGGAGCAGTAGGGGAACGGTGCCGCCCGTGGCCTCTGCCTCCCTTGCGTTGTCAGCCAGCATCCGCCGTCCTTTGGGCCAGTCGACCACGCTCTTCTCTGCTGCATCCCGCCAGCCACCTCCTCCCTCCCCTCCGCTTGCCCGCGCTTTCTTGTTCCGCAAACAACAGCAACCTGATCAACCAACATGTGACTGCCCCTGGGGGCCCCCTGTACAGGCGTGGACTACTCCACTCCCGTGCCGGGCACGCGGCGCGGCAAGGGTGCAGCAGGCGCAGCAGGCGCAGCAGGTGCAGCAGGCGAAGATGGCGACGAGCCCTCAGCCAGCCAGGGCAGCGGCGGCGGCGGCGGCGGGCGGGGCCGCCGCGGCGCGCGCAGCACGCGCGGCACCAGCCGCCTGGCTCAGAAGGGTGGGAAGTCGGCGGCATCCGCGGCGGGGGATGCACCGGCCGGGGCGGTGGCGGGGCAAGGTGACCTTCTGGCGGTGAGCAGGGCGGCGCTGGCAGCCGGCCGACTTGCTGCTGCCTCCCCTCTCTTTCTGTCTCTGCAAACGGAAGCGCCTGCTCAGTGCTCTGCTGTCTGCTGGGTTGGGGTGGCTGGAAGGGGAGGGGGCACGCGCCCCACCGCTCCTCGTAGCTACCCCTGCTGCTTTACACTGGGTTCGCCTGCCCCCCAGCCTGGGCCTCCCTGCTACCTGCCTGAGCTCCCTGATCCCCGGCCTCAACCCCCGCCCCTCCCTGCCTCTCCGGCCACACTCCGCAGAGCAACGCCGCCGCCTTTGGCGGCGCCCCTCTGCCTCCGGTTGCCCCTTCCCAGACATGCCGTGCTGCCGGTGGTGGACGCGGCGCAGGGCGCGGCGCTGGCGACGGGCTGGGCGCCGCTGCCGCTGCCGCTGGGTGGCGGCGGCGGCACGGGGCCCGCCCTGAAAGCGCTGGGGGCGCTGGCGGTTGGGCGGCAGGTGGAGCGGTACTGGCCAGAGGAGGGTGAGAGGCTGTGTGTGTGTGTGTGTGTGTGTGTGTCAAGGGTGGGGGAGGGTGTCGCTGCATGTCTCTGTATGTGTATGTTTGGGAAGTTGGGCACAACCCGACTGTGCTGCCCGACTGCTGCCGTAGTGGCCATGGCGTGACCACGGCGTGACCACAGCGTGGCCTTCTCTCCCTCTCCTGCTCTGCCCCGAACCCTGCTTCCCCCCGCCCCCCCTGGCCCTCCCCTTGCTCCACCCCCTCTTGCCCCGCAGGCGGCTGGTGGCCCGCCGCCATCTCCCAGTACAGCCAGGCTCGGGGGGAGCACCAGCTGGTGTACAATGCGGGGGGTGAGGACGAGAGCTTTGAGTGGGTGGACCTGGGAGAGCTGGGGGAGGGTGAGATACGGTGAGGCTCTGAGGGCGGGTGGGTGTGTGGGGAGTGGATGCTGAGCACGTGTGCGGTGGTGGTGTGCATGTGTGTGCGTGTGTTGGGAAGTCGGGTCTGAGGCATCGCTGCGCGTATTGGAGGGGGGGGGAGGGTTCTTCTGTCCGCCTGCCACTCCACATTCCCAGTGCCGCCCCCCTTGCCTGGTTTGTTGATTGACTGTTCATCTTGGCGTGTTGGTTGGTTCTGTTGTGCAGGGACGTTGCCAGCGCTGGAGCGGCGCCGCAGGATGCCGAGGGCGCGGCGGCTGCCGCTGCCGCGCTGTTTGCTGGCGGCGAGCCCGGCCAGGATGGTGCGGGAGCTGCTCTGCCCTGCTGCCGCTGCGCCTTTGGGTTGCACCATGCCTGCCCACGCGTTCGCCCTTGCTGCTGCTGGGCGGCAGCCATGGCTGGGCGGCAGCCATGGCGCGCTATGTGCTTCCTCTTTGTGCCTTGAGCTGTGTCAAGCCGGCGCCGCTGATCCGCTGAGGCTCCGCTGCCTGCCCTGCATCCCCGCATGCAGATGGCGGCATCGGCGGCCTCTTTGACATGGCTGCGGCGGCAGCGGCAGCGGAGGGGCAGGAGGATGGGGCGGCAGCGGCGCAGGGCGAGGCGGAGGCGGCGGCCATGGGGCCTGGCGGCTTCACCGCGCTGCTGGCAGAGGCTGATGTGGCAGGTGCTGACGTGGCGGGTGCCGAGACGCGGCCAGTAGGGCAGCAGCCGGACGCCGGAAGCCCGCAGCAGCAGGGGCCGGAAGAGCTTGCAGGTCCCGAGCAGCAGGAGCAGGAGCAGGAGCAGGAGCAGCAGTTGCTGACTGTGGAAGTTCTGCGGGCGATGCTGCCGGCAGCTGTGCACCCTGCGGCGGCTGATGAGCCGGCAGCTTGTGGGGGAGGATGAGGAATTTGAAGCCTGCAATGTTATGCATCGGAACGTGCCGTCATGCCACGTTATGAACTGCTGGGGAGGCCTGCCTGGCTTCATCGGTGCAGCTGAACGCCGACGGCAGCAGCATTAGAGGGGTGGGCTGGGCCGAGGCTGCCAACCCTGCAGGCGGGGGCACAGCCCAGGACCTCAAAATCAGCAAGGAGTGACTCAAAGCAAAGGAGTGACGCGCAGCGTCCAGCGGCGTGGCTGCGGGGCAAAGTGCAGCCGGCTCCAGCGGGTGGGGGCGGCAGTTGTTAAGTGGCTGCGGCTCCTGCGGGAGGAGGAAGCGAGGTGGCTGGGCACGATTCACTGAGCGGGCACACCTGCCCCGCTCACCAGTGAAGCCTCTTTTTGCATGGCATGCTCTGATGTACAACAGGGATGCTACACACTATCAATTGTGATCAGTTGGTATCGCTCCTTGCGCCGCTGCTCAAACAACAGCAGCTGAGGGTGCATGGAAGGATTTGATGGCAGCACGTATGGGCTGAAGCCAGAGTGGAAATGGAATCTGAAGAAACAGGGTAGAATGAATTGACAAAACTGAAGGGCATACAGCAGGAAAAAGAAAAAAAGAAGCGCTGAAGCAAGACTGGCTGGCATCGGGTACACTGAGGCGACGGGGTAAGAATGAATTGACAAAGCGGAAGCACAAACAGGAAGGAGAAGCCAGGAGTAAGAAGTACAGGGTGCAGGATTGAGGTACATGAGGTGCAGGATGGTGTGGACTGCGGCGCACGCTACTAGTGGGGGCAAACAGCCACGCGCGGCGACACACCTCGGTGCACGTAACACTGCTTGAGCTACTGGCCCTCCGCACTGTCGGCCAGCGGCTTATCCTGCGTGATGGCTGATGGCACCTCCAAGAACTGCAGCTCACATGGGCAGTGCACCGCATCAGCGATGCACTGCAAGAACCGCATGTCCTCCCGGCTCAGGGGCCCCTCCACTAGCAGGACCCGGCTGCCCGCCATGTCGCCCGGGTGCGCCCGCGCCGACAGCTGGCTGTGCAGCTGCACCGCCCTGCAAACAATGGGGCGCAGGTGCGACACGATTCAATTCCAGGCATGTGGCACAGGGGCAGACCATGGCAGGAAGAGGAGAGCGCTTCCAGCCTCCTACCCCCATGGCGACGCATGAGGCGGCAGCTGGGCAGGGCGAGGCGGAGGCGGCGGCGGCGGCCATGGGGCCTGGCGGCTTCACCGCGCTGCTGGCAGATGCTGACACGGCGGATGCTGACGTGGCGGGTGCCGAGATGCAGCCAGCGGGGCAGCAGCCGGACGCCGGAGGCCCGCTGCAGCAGGGGCCGGAGGAGCTTGCAGGCCCCGAGCAGCAGCGGCAGGAGCAGGAGCAGGAGCAGGAGCAGCAGTTGCTGACTGCGGAAGCGCTGCGGGCGATGCTGCCGGCAGCTGTGCACCCTGCGGCGGCTGATGACTTGGTTTCAGCAAGAACAAGCTTGCAGCACAGACTTTGTTGTTCGAGCAAGGAGGGATGAAGCAGTAGAACAACAGGCAGGACAGGCCAACTGACAGGTCACCGAGCGTTTAGTGTGTGAGCGGGCAGACAGTACTGCATGTCGTGGAGCAGGTGTGGTGCGGTAAGAGCAAAGGGGGTGGACATGAGAGTGGGGGTTCAGGGCGGGACTGCAGGCAGCGCAACGGTGGCGGTCAGCCAGCGCTGGTGACAGGCGGCAGCAAAGGCGGCGAGGCGGCACGGTTTCTGGCGGAGGAAGCGGTGGGGAGGATGGGGCTCAGCAAACAGGTCAGGAAAGTTGAGGCGCAGCGGGGCGTAAAGGGGGCAGGTGAGCAGCATGTGGGTGGCATCTTCAATGCCGTCGTGGCAGTGGGGGCAGACTCGCTGCTCTCAGGGGCGCCGCGTCCAGCGGCCGGTCTCTTCCGCGCCCCAATGCGACCCGGTGCGCAGCTGCGCCAGCGCCTCGCGGTCCTGCCGACGCCGTACTGCATCCAGGTAGGTCTCGCGCTGCCCAAACATGGCGGGCGCCAGGTTGAGGGCGCCCACCACGTTGTGCACATAGTGCTCCAGCCGGCTGGCACCGCCCTTCGCCAGCGCCTCCTGGAGCTGCGCCAGCTGGCGGCGCTGCGCAGCTTCCCCCAGCTCGCCGAGGTCAACAGGTGCTGGCTGCTGCAGGTCCAGCTGCATGCCGACCGCTGCGAGACCGGCCGCCAGCTGGGCAGCCCAGGACTGCTGTGCCAGGGGGTGGGCGCCATCTGCGAGCTGCACGCTGGACAACAGCGCTTGCTGCAACAGACTGCCGGGACGCTCCTCCAGCGTCTTGTTCCAGAGTTTGGCTGCCCGCCGCAGCCAGCGCTGCCACAGCGGGCGCTCGCCAGTCTCCGCAAGGAGGGCCGCATTGGGGGTGCTCTGCCGGACCCCCAGCAGGTGGCGTAGGTAGCTGAGCTGCAGCTTCTCGGCCGCGCTGCCGGCACTGCCACGATGGCAGCACGCCGCTTTGGCCGCCAGCTGCACGCCCCACACCTCAGCACCATGGGACAGCACCGAGTCCACCATGGTGCCGAAAAGCCGCAGCTGGACGGGCGCCGCCTCGATGCCCACCTCTGCGCAGCGGGTCCGGCAGTTGTGCATAGCCAGGCGCGCCAGCTGTGCCCGGGCTGGCGCTGCTGCCCCTGCCAGGCAGGTGCTGGAGTGAAAGGCGATGCCGAGATACTTGAAGCTGGTGACTGCCGCCAGCTGCTGGCCGGCGAAGGTGAGGCCTGCTGCCTCTGCTGTCTGCTGCGCCGCGTGCTGGGTCCGCCGCCCGCTGAGCAGCATGAGCTTGGTCTGTCGATGTTGACAGTGAGGCCCCACTGCCGGCAGTACTGCTGGAGCAGGCTTAGCTGCCGCTGCAGCCCGGCCGCTCGGCAGCGGCGGCACCGCGGCGCCGCCGCTGCCGAGGAAGCTGGGGAGGTCGAGCTGCTCGCCACGCCGCGCCGCCGCCATCAGCTCCTCCTCCAGGTCGTCGATGTAGAGGCCAAAGAGGGTGGGGCTGAGGGGGCAGCCCTGCTTCAGGCCTGTCACGGCCTGGAAGCAGGGCGACAGCCCGGATGAGGTGCGCACCGACATGGGGACGTTGCTGTACAGCGCGTGCGCTGCCGCCAGCCAGGCTGTGTCCACACCGCGTGCCGCCAGCTTCTGCCAGAGCTGCTCCCTGGGCACGCGGTCGTATGCCTGCTTGAAGTCGACGAAGCAGCCCCACAGCTGCTGGCCTCTCAGGCGGTGTTGGTCCTGGAGTGCGCGCAGCACGAGTGCTGCCTGCGCTGTGCCGCGCTGGCGCCTGAAGCCAAACTGCCCTGCTGCTCTGAAGTTGCTGGCCTCTGCCCAGTCTGAGATGCGCTGCTCCAGGATGGCGGCGTGCAGCTTGGCGGCCATGGTGCCGATGGCAATGCCGCGCAGGCTGCTGCAGCTGGTGGGGTCGCCGCCGGGCTTGAGGATGGGTGCGATGATGCTGAGCGCGTCAGGGGTGGCCAGCAGGTGATGAGCCGGCAGGTGATGAGCCGGCAGGTGGCGGGGGAGGATGAGCGATTTTGAGGCCTTCAAATTTCATGCATCAAAACTGGCCGGCACCAGCGCTCGCCGTTGTAAAGACCGCGCATAATCACAAGCGAGTATTGAGGGGGCCGGGGCTGGTGCCTGCCGAGCGTGCGTTGCGCATTTGGTGGGTCTCCATCGCTCTCGTGCCCAAGCACACGTAGATACCCCCTGGCCCCAGGTGGGGCAGAACCGTCCCGCCCACGTGATGGCTCCATGCAGCAGCTACCAAGTTGACGCCAGGCAGTACTATGCGGTTCAGGCCGTACATGAATGTTCTATCAGAGCAAAAAATGGGGATCGATCCATCAGCCAGCTCCAAATCGACGACTTGAACGATTTAAGGGCCTCCTTGCAGCCGCCCCGCAGGATGGAACAAGTCCCGGCGCAAAATGGCAACGTTTTTGCGGCCCCTGTTCGCGTGGCAGACAACAACAAGCTGCGAAAGGTCCAGCGCGACGCATACGCAGCAATGGTGGACCTCTTCCCGACCTACAAAACGCTGTTGGCCGACATATGCACTGGGGCCGGCAAGTCGGGAGTGGCCTGCATGGCCCCTTTTGCCCTATGCGCGTCCGGGGTGGGCTGCAAGCGGATGGTGTGGATCGTGCCCACCATCGAAGCTCGCGAGGGTGAGCCCTGACCAAGTGGTGCTTCATGTCAACATGTTAACAGCGGTTGGAAGCGGGACGGTAGAGAAGGGCAAGCCAATTCAGCGTCTACACCGCGCTTCCCCGCTGCCACCTGATGCAGTTGCGATGGCTAACCTGACAGGCCAGAGCCCGCTGGGGGATGGAGATCAGGACGCAAGCTTCCTGCTGAACAATGCTGTGCTGATCAGGAACAATGGTCAGGATCCACGCTTGCCATCAGTGCTGGAGCTCAAGGTAGGAGCTGTGGAATCATTGAAACAAGAATGGCCCACCATCGCAGGAATGCACGTGCAGGTGCATGCCATGGCATGCCAGCTCTATTGCACCGCTGATTTGCTGTAGGAGGGCCATGCCATGAGTGCGGAGCAGATGGTGGAGGAGATGAAGAAGTATGATGTGGTTGTAGCCACGGCGCAGCTCTTCAACGCTGTCAAGGGCCGCCTTGCAGAGCTGAAGCGGATCACCGCTGCGGAGGGTCCCATCTTCGACCTACATGTGTATGATGAATGCCACTACCTGCCCACCAAGTCTTGGGACGCTGTTTGGGAGTCCCTGAAGGGTGTGTCGCAGCCAAACGCCTCGAGCAGCTCCAGCATGTCGCTGTGCTAGTGTTGAGCTACTGCATTGGCACAGCCCAGCCTGCTCAAAAATCAGCCGGCCTTCGTTCCCGCAGGGGGAACCACCCGCTACCTGGCAATGACTGGCACGCCATTCCGCACCGACAACCAAGAGATCCACCGTGTGCGTGTTTGGTCCATATTGTCCATGCATGAAGCCTGTCTGACTGGTTTCATGCCCAACCACCGCCCATCTGATAATCCGATCTGACTGTTTGCTTGCCGAGCTGGCTGTCCGACAAAATGCCAAGACTGCAAACAGAAAATTCGATCTCACCCCATCGTGCAGGAGAAGGACCTGCAGCCGTTCATGCTGATGCATGCGCTGGAGGATGGCTACAGAGAGGACCAGCGCCATAAGATGATCGTGAAGGACTTGTGCTACCTGCAGCTGGAATCAACCCAGGACCCTCTCCTGGTGCGGTTCAGAAGCGCTTGCTCTTGAGTGCTCATGAACATGGCAGCTTGGTGTCATGAGGCCCGCCACTTGCATGCTTAGCTACTCAGGTGTATTCCCCATCCTGCTTTTCCCAGCCCGAGGAGGATGCAACCAATGAGATGTTCCTGGATATGCTGAGGGCCACGTGCCACGTGCTGCGGATGGCTCGCACTAGCACTGTTGGCAGCATGACGCCACACAAAGCGCTTGGCTTTGTGGAAAGCTGGGAGCAGGCCATGCGCATTGTGAACCTGGCCAACAGCCACAAGGTGGGAGATCTCTGCTGCTTATTGCGAGACGCTAGGACAGTGCAGCAGGAATGTCGGGAGGGCCGCCACCTGCCATGCACCATGGAGCATCGTTGCACAATTATGACTGGCTGATGCTGTGCCATCAGCCGCTCACATGTCCCGCTTAAGCTTGCTTTGTCTACACAGGATGAGCTGATTGTGTTGGACGACCGCGGGCTCATCAAGACCCTGAACATTAAGATTATTCACCAGGGCAAGATCAATGGAAAGAAGCAGACCAAGGCTCAGAAGGAGCAGATGAAGATGAATATGGCGAATTTCAAGGACAGCCAGATCAGCCACCCTGCCTGTGTAGACATGGTGGTGCAGGCAAGCCAACAAAACCAGGACCGTACCGTTTGCGTCTTCCACTTGCATCCACAACTGCTGCTGTTCATAATCGTTGCAGGCAAAGCCGATTCGGATCCACTCCCTGCAACGGGTTCTGCCTGTTGCCCTGCTGCTGCAGACAGGCTGCCTATCGGAGTCATTTGATCACCCCTTTGTCTCAGTGGCCACCATTTTCCGCAAAAGCAGCACGCTTGTTAAGTTTGCTCAGTTCATTGGCCGCGTGGTGCGCCGCATCGGCGTGACGCAGGCGGGTGAGCAAGGGAGGGGGCGAGTGAAAAAAGGTTCACCTACATGAGAAGAGCCCACAGATACATCCTGGGACATCTTTGCTCTAAATGCCGCTGCAAAACACGCAGGCACTGCCAGCAACCAGCATGCAAACGACAACGACAACACGGCGCACATCATCACCCATGCCAAGAGTGGCGTGAAGAAGTTCTTCAACGAGTTCAGCAACCGGAAGACGCCACTAATTCAGGCCGACTCGGACATTGACCAGGTGTGTGTGGAGCAGATGAAGTTGTTGCACAGCCTGGTAGCGCTGTCACATTGTTGTCCTGCTGGATTACCCTGTGTACAAGTGTCGGCATGCACTAACGTGGCCTCTGAAGACTGCAGGAAGTGGGGGCTCATGTTGAGCAGACAGACAGCGATGATGATGGCGCCGAGGGAGAGGATGCTGTGGACGCCAACATTCTGGAGCGCGGCATTGACCAGGCCACTGCTGGTAGCGGCCCGAGCAACTCGGTAAGAATCTCTGTGAGCACGAACGCCTCCTGCTGGGGCTTCCTTCACTGGACGCTGCCGCGGTTCTGCATGCAGGGAGGTGCCCAGCGCAAGACGGTGGCAACGCGCATGGTGTTGGCACCTCACACGGCTTACCATACCCAGGTGCTGAAGCGCCTGCAAACCTACCACTTAGCTCTGACCAAGCTGGGATGGGAGATTACGGACGAGACTGCCCGCAACATCGAGTGAGTTGCTTGCAGCATTGTTGCGCTGCACATGAGTGTTAGTTCCATACTTGTTGAGGAGGCACCTGCTGGATACGCTTGAACCCATTGCAGGTTGCAGATGCAGGAGCAGGAAGCCAAGCGGCAGCGGCGCCATTAAATCGAGATCATTACCCTTCAAATGCAACTGTCTCTGGGCCGCCCGCTCCAGTGCTGCTCATGTTCTTGTTGTGCGCCTGCGAGCTGTGCACCCTCCTTGAAAGTTGCATATGCATGTTGTCTCTGGCGGCACTGCACCCACAGTCACACCCATCACCCTGGTGAATGAAGAGGTTTTGCGGCTGCTGTAAACACCATAATTAGGGGTAAGCTGACATGGCGGGTGCTGATGTGGCGGCATTGTCTGGCTCTTTGAAATGGCTGCTGGGGCAGCGGCAGCATATTTTGACTACCTTGCTGCTGGACTCCGAGGACCGCCAGCGGAGCCCTTGCGCCGCCCCACCAGCCAGCGCCAGCGGCAGCGCAGCCGCCGGCGACTCCGCCCGGCTGTGGGGCCGCCTCTGGCGCAACATAGTTGCCACGCAGGCTAGCCCTCCAGCTGCAGCGTGGCCCTCCCATCAGCATCCCGCCGGGCCCGCCGCGGCATGTATGCTGCCCCGACATGGACCAGCACTTGGAGTGGATCGCGGCGGTGGTGCGGCTGCGGCGTGCTAGGCACCGCCACCACGGCGAGCATCGCGCAGCTGCCCCAGCAGTACGAGGCCTGTATTGGCCTCGATGCGGATGAGGCGGCAGAGCTGCGTGCAGCGTTCCCCCTGCAACCCCACATGGACCCGCTGCCGGCACGCCAGCGGGCGGCAGTGCCCGCGCCGCCCTACACAGCCGCCCAGCGGTCGGTCCAGGTGGAGCACGCCCTGGCGCAGGTCATCTGCCGCATCGACGACGTCCACAAACCCAGCGGCATGGGCGCGCTGCCAGCGTGAGCCGCCCCTCCAGGGCGCAGCAGCCCGCCCTGTGCCCTGTGTGCCTCGCCTGGTCAGCTTCATGGTATGTGTGCCACCGATCATCTGCCCCGCCCCCTCTTCCTCCACTTTTCGCCCCCCTTCAACGGTGTACACGCTCTCACAGCCCTGCCCTGTCTTGCCCCTGTGCGCTGCCTGCCGCAGGTGCATCAACGGCCCCATGGGCGCTGGCGACTGGTCCTCGCTGCCCGTCGCGCTGGCGATTCGGCCGCAGCTGGTGCGGCCCGCGCTGGAGAGGGACGGCTGGCTGCAGGCGCACCAGCACGAGCTGGATGATTGGGTGGTCTCCCTCAAGTACGGCCTGGTGCTGCAGCGGCCGCAGTACGCGCTGCGTGGGCGTACCTCCGCGGCGCACTTTGCCCAGCGGTACATGGAGGAGTACGCCCTGGTCCGCCGGCAGCACCCGCGGCCGCCCTGCCGCTGCGACCGCTGCGATGGCGCGGTGGCGGCGGCGGGCGAGGAGCTGCTTGCCCGGCTGCACATGCGCATGCTACCAGTGCTGGCGGGGGCAGGTGGGTATCGTGGGCAAGTGCTGCTGCTTCTGCTGCTCCTGCTTTCCTAAGCAAAAATGTGTTGCGCTGGGCAGCCTGATCTCATGCACATGTATTTTCTGGACAGGGATGGTTGGACACAAGCAGCTCGCTTGCGACCCCGCCGCGCTGCTCCCTCCCCGCCACCCTGCCGCCTCAGCGCCGCCGGGCACGCCGCGGAGCGCCATCCTGAGGCACGGGCCCCACGGCACGCCTGTTTCGCTTGAGGATGGCAGCGGGCTGGAGGCCAAGCTGCACCTGTGCGCCGCCAGCCGCCGCTACCGCCCGTGCCCAGCCGGCACCGTGCCCCCCCCGCCGCCGCCGCCACAGCAGCAGCAGCAGCAGGTGGGGGAGGAGGATGAGGATGACCAGCAGGAGGCTGGGGGCCTGGCCGATGCGGTGGCCGATGAGCTGGCGGAGGAGGCGGAGGAGGGCGCTGGCGAGCAGCTGCAGCAGGCGGCCGCACCGCAGGCAGTGCAGCTGCGCACGCTGGCAGACGTGGCGCGCCGTGTGGCACCCGTGGTGTCAGCCTTCCTCGCAGGGGAGGCCGGCTGTGCTGTGGGCAGCCATGCGCACGCTCGCCACCTGGTGTGCCTGCTGCGCCTCGGCCTGTGCTCCTTGCTGCGCATCCGCGACCACAGCCGGCAGGAGCTGGAGGAGCAGGTGCTGCCCGTGCTGCGGCGCGACGCGGAGACCGCAGCGGCGGCGCTGCTGCAGCAGCGGCAGGCGGCGTCGCCGCAGGCGGCGGCCATGGTGGTTGAGCAGCAGCACGTGGCGCAGCAGGCGGCGCAGCAGGCGGCCGCCATGGAGGCAGCGCAGCAGCAGGCAGCGCAGCAGGCGGCCGCTATGCAGGCGGCGCAGCAGGCGGCTGCTATGCAGGCCGCTGCAGCGGCGGCGATTGTGCACCAGCAGCAGCAGCACCACGCCATCGGAATGTCCTGGGCTGGAGACCCGAATGTCCGAGGGTCGGCGGCGTGGTACGCTTACTGCGATGCGCTGGCGGAGGATGGGTTCCGTATGATTTAAACTTGGCAGCATGCTTGGGCTGGCCGCATGACTGTCTTCCTCGTTCTGTGTAAACTATACACAATGGGCGCACATCAAAGTTGGAGGAAGGATGGGTTTGGAGGCTGCAGCTGGTAATTTAGTGCTGGATTATCCTGGAAGCGGCAGCCAGCTGCCCAAAGGGGAATTACGGAGAACCGGGCGACTGACTGACTGACTGAGATTACAGAGAACCGGGCCCTTTAAAGGGCTGGGGACACACAAGCCGTGCCCACTAGCTCTGGACAATAAAAGTATGAAGCCAACCAACAGACAGGGCGGCGGAGCGCGGGGCCGTGTGTGTGTGTGTGTTTTACAGGGATTGGGCACATTAATGTGCTGGGGCCGAACCCGCTAACCCTGCCGGCTGTCCAGAGCGAGGAAAATCTGGCCGCCGATGGCATCCCGGGGAGGCTCCGTCTTGCAAGCGCCATGCCGGTCTGCCGGGCAGCCGTCCGCCGCCCAGATGCCGCCACGAAGGTGCCGTGAGGCAAAGTCCCAGCTAGTGTCCCGGCTGGGGTTCGAACTCGTGCCTGTGGTATCACCCACCGGCACTCATCCAGCTCCTTATTTAACGTCGCGGCCAACGACGACGAAGACTGAGATTACAGAGAACCGGGCCCTTTAAAGGGCTGGGGACACACAAGCCGTGCCCACTAGCTCTGGACAATATAAGTATGAAACCAACCAACAGACAGGGCGGCGGAGCGCGGGGCTGCGAGGAGCCGATCGGGCACAGCGGGCGGCAGGGAAAGCGGAGGGTGCCTGGGAGCCAGCCCAGTGACTGTCAGAGAGTTGCGAGGAGGGGAAACGGGGGGCAAAAGACAGGGGAAAGAGGGGGATCAAGGGCCAGGACCGCCAGCAGGCGGCGCAAGCGGCTCAGAGACGCCACCCACCCCGGCACAGAAGCTGGGGGAGCGGCCAGGCGGGCGGGCGGGGACCGCCTCAGAGGGCAGGCGACACAGGGGGTCAAGGCTCAGGTCAGATCACACGGGAAAAGGGGGCAGCCAGCTGCCAACGAGGAGAGGGGAGAAAGGGGGACGCCAGAGAAAGCACTCCGAGCGGCAGCGCGGCTGGCACAGCAGCGCACGAGCAAGCACAGGCGCACAGGCACTGCAGCACACTGCCGGCGGGTCCCCGATGGCGTGACTGCGGAAAAGCGCAACCACCTCCACTGGTTCCAAGCACACCTCGCACGGCGCAATAGCCAGCCAAGGGGCACCACAGCCAGGCAGCAGCCGACAGCGCACGGGCAACCAGATGCAAGCCGGCACAGCAGGCGAGCAGCGCGGCAGCAAGGCGGCGGGCACAGGGCAGGCAGGCAGAAGATGGGCAAGAGGGAAGACGGACACGAGAAAAGGGGTGAGGAGGGCACAGTCAGGAGAAAGGCGGGGAAGGGCCAGCGGAGCTGACTGACGATCAAGCAGGGGGAGGAACAGGAGGGGGGCGGAGCCGAACGCGGCCGCCGGTAGAGAAGAAAAAGGGGTGGGCAGGGCCAAGGCTGTCAACCCAAGAGGCGGGGGCACAGCCCAGGGCCTCAAAATCAGCGAGAAGGGACCAGAAGGACTGGAGAGCCGCGCGGCGGGCAGCCTCCAGCGGCGTGGCTGCGGGCTGCGGTGCTGCGGGGCCAGGCGCGGCCGGCTCCAGCGGCGGGGGCGGCGGGTCCTGAGTGCAGAACCGGGCCGTGTGTGTGTGTGTTACAGGGATTGGGCACATTAATGTGCTGGGGCCGAACCCGCTAACCCTGCCGGCTGTCCAGAGCGAGGAAAATCTGGCCGCTGATGGCATCCCGGGGAGGCTCCGTCTTGCAAGCGCCATGCCGGTCTGCCGGGCAGCCGTCCGCCGCCCAGATGCCGCCACGAAGGTGCCGTGAGGCAAGGTCCCAGCTAGTGTTCCGGCTGGGGTTCGAACTCGTGCCTGTGGTATCACCCACCGGCACTCATCCAGCTCCTTATTTAACGTCGCGGCCGTGATCTGTGATCTGTGATGTTACAGAGGCAATGCCCATTAATGGGCTGGGGGCACACAAGCCGTGCCCACTAGCTCTGGACTGTATGAAAGCATGCAATACCGCCCGGGCGGCAAAGGGCGGGCTCAGGGAGCGGTCGGGCGCAAAGGGCGGGGAGGGAGGCGAGGGGCGCCTGATGGCCAGCCCAAGGGCGGCAAGCATACCAGTGGGGGGGAGGGGCAGGTCGAGGACCCGCACACCACCACCACCAGAAAGCGGGCCCACCCACCCCGGCGGCCTGTGATCTGTGATCTGTGATCTGTGATGTTACAGAGGCAATGCCCATTAATGGGCTGGGGGCACACAAGCCGTGCCCACTAGCTCTGGACTGTATGAAAGCATGCAATACCGCCCGGGCGGCAAAGGGCGGGCTCAGGGAGCGGTCGGGCGCAAAGGGCGGGGAGGGAGGCGAGGGGCGCCTGATGGCCAGCCCAAGGGCGGCAAGCATACCAGTGGGGGGGAGGGGCAGGTCGAGGACCCGCACACCACCACCACCAGAAAGCGGGCCCACCCACCCCGGCACAGTAGCTGGGAGAGCGGCCAGGCGGGCGGGCGGGGGCCGCAAAGGTGAAGGCGGCACGCGGGAAGACCGGG